AGATTTAGTTTATGAAATGACCAAGATTTTCACTTTTAACAAAAAAGCCCACAATTGGCTGTAATTTCATCTAATAGCTGCTTTTATCGAAGTTCGCTGCAGCATCTGAAAGATGTAAATACTAAGGATTAATAACAGGGTCGCTCATTTCGGGTTGTAGATTACACTCCTGCATAATGACATGACTGACAGATAATCCATCTTGAACATGCATATAACGTCACATGAGCTGAATACCTCAATAAGACTTTCTTCCAAGGCCTAAAATGAATTAGTGGGATGTTAAAGGCTACCAGATTTACTGCAAATTTGCAGATTTCTCGAGTGAGTGTCCCCACAGCCATTCGTCAGCTCTGTAATGTTCGAGCGTCACATGACCGTGAAGGCCACAAATGTTTAATGTCGTCCTTGGGAAGAAATATGTATTGTGAGAAATGTGTGCCTTTATGAAGGAGAGTCGAATGGCAGTTATTAATATCGTCAATATGTGACCTGCGCTACATAGCTAATCATTTGAGCTTCCAGAGAAGCGGTAGGTAGTTATCCTGCTGCTAGGAGAGCTGCACTTACATCTGCCACACTTAGAACTTCAGGTTTGTGCTTTGAAGTCCATCATGGAGCGACCGGCAGCGCTGTGTGTGCATTCTCCATGTCCATATATGCTATTAGATGTGTAGCTGACAACTTCGTTTTTGGAGATAATTACATAGCAGACATGGAAAAGAAATACTACTGTGAATATGAAACTGATATTAAATAGCAGTACGGATCGAGGCCTGGTTAAGCCTGTTTTGAAACATAATTATGGAGAAGGGATACCTGCCACAACCATCACTTGATGCAAAATATATATATTCAAGGCACCAGCTTCTGATTGGCTCATTGAGACCAGCAGGAGAGTTTAAATACTGTGCCCCAGCTTCTGTCTTCCAGAACTTTCTCCCAGGGAAAGGTAAGGTTTTCATTCAGTTTCGTCATACAAACGGATTAGCGTTGAGTTGCTTCAGTTTATTATTCAGTCATAATGACATTGTCAAAATTTAGCTGCATTTGTACTGTTTCACTTAGAAAGTTGAGTTAACATCTATCTTTAACAAGGAGTGGGACTTATAAGGGCATTTCAAAGAGAGTACTCAGTGTCAGAATGTCACAGAAAGTCACCGATGCTTTTTATGCATGTCTTTAACCCTAAATCAATTATGTTCAGCTCTAGTGGGGTTCTTTCAGTTATACTGCAACTAAAAACATTGCCAGATTCTTTGGTTGGATGGTAGCTCACCCTGTAATCACATATTCCCTCTAGTGTGTGCATCAGAAATGAGGGCTCTTCTTGTGTTTGCCTGCCTCGTTGAATTCACACTCCAAGCCCCTGTAAGTATCTGCCTGTAAGGAGAACCTTTCCATCAGCTCAGGCCACATACATGCACCTCTCAATTGTTATACTCATGTGTTATTACAGATGTACACTAATACATACATATTAAGACTATCCATTAGCGATAAGCCTCTCACTTCCATATAAGTTGTTATTTTTATTCTGGGTACATTTCAACTGAAAAAAATGACCAGGGAGGAGATTGTATAGAGATGTAGGGACCTTGGCTGTAATTTTGTTTTCCCTGCCAGAGGTCGGTTGTGGAGAGGGAGATACAGGGAAAGGTGTGTGATGGATGTATTGCATTTATGTGCTTGTTCTTCATTTGTAAATAGGCCCCCCAAACTGGACCACCTGAGCCCCCAAGTTTAGAAATTGTGAGTATGTGAAAAATGCAGTACAAAATCTTACATACAGTACAGTACTCACAGACAGTCTTGGGATGCTATCTTACTTCTGTAAATATGTTGCAGATTTATTGCTTTCATAACAAAAGTCCATTGACAAACAATGTTTAACATATCTGCACCTATCTATCAAACATATATTTTCTTTTTATTAGGTGTCATTTTTTGACTGACTCATTCAGTTCGGTTCTTACCATTTTACCATTAATTGCAATTGTAGTCAATGATTCCCAAATACTAAATTCAAATGTTTGGTGTTTTATGTTATTGCAAAGGTGTTACTAAAAAGCACCCTATGAGACCGCTTGTCAATTAACTTTTAGTCCAGAACAGCTCTTTTAGGACTATAATTTGGGTTTCAGTGTATTATTACTTGAAATGAATGTTAAAACTGCTGGTTGTTTCTAATGTTAACAAAGTTGGGTAACTCAGGTCCAGAGAGTAAAAGTCCAGACCAAGATTTTGTTTTAACCAACGAGCACAAAGAGTCACAGTTACAGAGTACTCAACTGGTTGGTTGAAACAAAATCCCGGTCTGGACTTCTATTACTCAATTGAATTAAGTAATGATTTTTGCTATAAAACTAAAAACTTTGCAGTACTGAATTACGTAAATGACTTCCTGCGAGCGACTTTCTGTGAGCACTGTATGTTTATATGACATTTTTTAAAGTTACTGGAACTTCAAGATCCATAAAGGGTTGTCACATCTGTTCCTAGATTCAGAGTATAGAGTGCTCTGTCTTCTCAATGCAAGTCACTTTGTTTCTTTATTGCCATTAGCTAGCTATCTTAATACAGTGCAGTCAGCATTGTTATTACTTGGGCAATTTTGAGCAGGCAGCATGCTTTGATAGAAAGCCTAATCAAAAGTTCCCTGTGAATTCCAATCAGTGAATATATTAGGCTTCTTTAAATGTAGTTTGTAAAATTTGTTGGCTTAGTTTACACAAGCAAAATAAAAGAACAGAGTAAACAAACATTGAAATGTCACCAAAGAGAGAAAAATGTAAGCATTTTATATATGTTTGCCATGAAGTGCAATTTGTATTCCTGCTCTCCTGACGAATTGTTTAAACTCAGGCTTGACTCTGCAGTCTGTCGTGAGCTCATGCATAATCCTCAGGCACAAGAATGGCTGTTTGTTTTTCTAAAATGAGCCTATTTCGTTTAAGTTGCTTCCATATGGCTTCCAAGGCTCGGACATCAGACTGCAGTCTGCAGGAGCTGTGAGTATTTTGCACATAATCCAAAAAGAGTAACTCTTAACTTCATGTGACCTATTGTCTGCAAGAGTGAAGGTGGACATCTTTCATTCAGGCCTGGGGGAAAATGATATTTCTCTCCTGTGTTTGGGAATATGCTGCAACATTTATGAGAGTAACCAAGCCCTTGTGTAGCTGTACAGTGACCCTGTCATCAAAATGGGGAGCAATTTGATCTTCACTGCTTTTGGTTTGGATCCTGGCTTGGATCTGTGTCGGGGGTCAGTTGGGGGGAGTGGTGATGGTGGTTTATATGTTAACCCTGTGTTCTTGTGGGTATACTCCAAATGGGATGACATCCTCCCGCAGTCAAAAGGCACGTGGTTTAAGTGAATCTGTGTCTGAAAATTCACTTGGTATATGATGGTATGGGTGCCCTGTAATGAACTGGTATAATGTCCAGGGACTGGTCTAGTCCTGGGCGTCCTGGAACAGGCTCACTGCTAACCCTGCCCCGGATAATCAAATTCGACTTTCATATAGCGCCTTTCACACAGGGACACACTTGCCCCAAAGCACTTGACCAGAGTGTGTGGCAGTCCGTTACTACATCGTTTATGCAAAATGCTGCATAGAAAAGAGGTCATGGATAAGTGGTTATGAAACACTGGTGGGTGGATGGATGGAGACCTCCTATGAAAATAGCCTGCAAATGCTGACCCAGCTCTGTGCGACAATACAAACAGCAGACTGTTTACACCACGTTTTCTCATCTTAATCCTGAACAGGTCCATCCCGCTACAGCTACGCACAATGTTTTCCCAGGACAGGCCAGCATAGAGTTCGTAAGTCCGCAGGTTTACCGTTGCTCACGATAATAACCTGCCGACAAAGTGAAATCCTTGTGGTGATGTCGTTTAACGGGGCTACAAGGTTCTGATGAGACTTTAATATGAGCTGCCAAACGCAAGGAAACAGGTGGTGCCTCATGTCAGCTTAATTAATGTAAAACTACAGTCCTTGGCCAGAGGCATTGTTAATGGATTCAGAATAATATTTGCTTTTGTATGCTTAATGCATGATTTACTTGCCTGGCATGGGTGGATGGGTTGAAATAAAGATAATCAATCACTTCCCCAGTTGGTGCCTGTTGGAGATCACGCCCCTCAGTCTGCAGGTTCCACTTCTCCTATGCATCAGGTGAGCTGCCCGCGTTCTGCTCCAACACGATACCCTCCGTTAGACACGCTCCGCCATCAGAGCCATTGAGTAGCGTGAGTAGCGACATGTTCTGCCAAACACATCCGGTGCTTTCCTCACTGAATACCGGCAACATGTCAGAAAGGTAACGATCCAGTTTTGTGCAACATTGCTGTGACCACAACAGACACCCGTTGCGTGACGTACACCAATAAAAAAGATTGAATAATAATTCCCTTATTTGTTCTTTTCTTAGTATTGCCATAGTAAAAAAAAAAAAACTCAATTTGTCTTCCATCATTGTGAAGGAATACATTCAGACATACTATAACTATACTGTTTGATTTCCTATTCATATATCATTTTTAACCATAAATGACTTTGTTTATGTTTTGTGACGCTTGAAGTCATTGTAGAGTAAAGGACTGTATTGTCCTTTATTGTCAAACTGTCCATATACAGGTATAGAGTGTGTCACAATGTGGGAAGGACGGAGGCAAAGGCAGCCATTGGGGGAAAACCAAGGGGCTTTATTAAAGTAAAACACAAGGGGAGAGGCAAAAGGAAACGGACCACAATGGGTCAAAACTAGGCTGGGAGAGCTACACTAGGAGGGCAAAGAGAGGGGCGCAGTCAGTCAGTAACATAAGAATAACCAGACTGGGGAGCTCAGGACAAAGAGGCACTATATACACCACAGATGAGGAGTAGACAAGTGGCAGCTGGGATCATCCACACGAGGGCTGTAACAAGAGGCAGGATGAAACAAGGCACAGGTGAGGCTCGTTAGAGCCACACAACAGGGAACACGGGGGGGAGGCATGCGGGGTGCGACACAGTGGAAGGAGATTACGGTCCTCCAAGGCCACAGTACGACATACAGGCAGCCTGTGGTCAAAAAAGAGGGATTCACAGTGATACATATTTCCTTCTCTTGTATAGCCTGTGTTGATTTGACTGTAAGAATATTTATGAATCTCCCAGCTTCTTTCCCATGCTTACATCAAGCCGAAGAAGCGGAGCCCCCCAGGTGCAGAGAGCCAGGAGGCCGTATGTGTCATTTTCTGTTGATTTATTTCAATGCTACTTTTGATAACTGCAACTTACATGTTTATTCTGCATAAAAATCAGAAGTGGATGAAAAAAGTTGACATGGTGGGAATATATACAGCTGTGGGAAAAAATTAAGAGACCACATCACATTTTTTATTTCACTCATTTCTTGACTTATACAATTCATGAGAAAGTTAACGGTCTCTGGCATTAAAATGTCGCTTTCGCCTTTTACCTGAATGGTTTCTGGCCATTCCTAGTGTCTCCTGCTTCACCTTATTCTTCTGTACTTCTGTCTTAGAAACTTTGAGCCTGGAAGCAGCCTGCTGCTTAGCGTAGCCTCCCGCCAGCAGAAACACGATTAAATCAGCATTTAAAAATGCAGGTTTATTTAAAAATATTGGTCTCTAAATTTTTTCCACAGCTGTATTTTCTAAAATACTGCCAATTCTAGAAATATCAGATGCAAACTAGAGGTGGAGGTTTCAATTTCATAAAAATTCATGTTATGGTTCAAATGAATGATTTTTGGGGGAGGGGAGGAGCATGGATGATCTTGGTCTCCTTTTGCAGAACAACCCCAAAGCTGCTGCCCATAGCCCCTCCCAGCAGACAGCAGCTAGCTACGAGCTGGTAAGCTTCCTGAAACAAGTGTGATCCTCCGAGTGCTTGCATTAAGTTACCTGCTTATCCAGAAGACGGAGCACTTGTTTGATCAGAATCTCGATCCCTAGAATCAAAACATCTCTTATATAACATCTCTTTGTCAAGACCCTGAACGGAAAAGAGCTCTTCTGAATAGCTGCACAGGCGCTCTCAAATGTTACACAGCAAGTGTTCGTTTTAGCCGAGCTCAGAGCGTAAAGCTCTCCAGTGTTTATCTAGGAATCCGGACTCCCTGCTTCCGTGGATTTGGTGATGGGGCCCTAAGCTTTTGGGAGAATGTGTTTGCCACAATGTGGAATAATAAAATGTGAGGTGTCTTAGCTTAATCCAAACCAGAGGGTCCCTGCAATCACAAGGAGAGGCTAGATTTCAAATGTGTGGCTATACTTGGGACAGGGGAAGATTAAAAATGTCATTTTAATTAAGCAGTGATGGGATGATGATGGGTCGTTGATGGTTAATTAGAAAGTGAAACTGTAAAATGATGCAGGCAGCTCTCAAGTGACCTAAGTAACCCATCCCACTAAACCTTAAGTAAATCAAAAGATTTACCTTCCTGTACCACTCAAATCATAATATAGCAAAAAATACATGAGCAAAAAGTATACTGGTTATATGTGGTAGAGAACACATACTAAGTAAATGAAAAGATAAAGTCTGTTTTACATTAGTCGAGCACTGCCTGCATAATATAGAAAATCAGACATCTGAACAGGCTCCTTGACTCATGCGGGAGCTGTAGACGGAGCTCAGCTTTGCAGGGAAAATGCCGGATCAATTGGGTGCCAAACCCCATGGATCTGTTGTCATTATATGCATGGCTTGTTCCCCGGCACATCTTCAGCTAAGTAAAGCGTTTTAAAGCTAGTCTTCACTTAAACGCACTACTGCTGCTCATTAATATTTAACGCCACACCCGGCTCAGCGACTTGATATGGCTGTTAACAAGTGCAGGACCTGCTGCAGGACCTGCACATAAAGCTGCATCCCTGACATGCAGGACCTGCACATAAAGCTGCATCCCTGACATGCAGGACCTGCACATAAAGNTGCAGGACCTGCACATAAAGCTGCATCCCTGACATGCAGGACCTGCACATAAAGCTGCATCCCTGACATGCAGGACCTGCACATAAAGGTGCATCCGTGACATTCAGGACCTGCACTTAATGCCACATCCCTGACATGCAGGGCCTGCACGTAAAGCCGCATCTCTGACAATGCAGGATATATCCTTTATACTGTATATCCTTTATCTATCCCTTATATATCCTTTATATATCCTTGATATATCCTCTCATGTGCACATCAGGGTATTTTACTGAAGCCTATTCATTAAATATCTACTTCAAACAAACGTTGCCACACGCTTGGGATTTGAACTTCAGCTCTTTTTTAGTCACAAGCTGAGTTTGTTAATTATGCCACCTGTGTGTCTGCTTCTGTTTAATTATTAGAATTAATGACTTTTGCAATTCCAGTGTTTACTTTTTGATTTGGAAAAAACGTATTTGTATGGTGGGAGGAATATGCATCTCAAAAGCGCTGGCATTAAAAAAAGTCTGTGTGTGTCTTTGTGGGTGTGTGTATGGTCCAGCTATACCTTACCTTGTGGAGATCAAATGTCCCCACAATGTGATGAATACCCATTTTTTTTACCTAATGGGGACTAGTTTCCTAGTCCCCGTATGGGAAAACTCTGTTTTACAAAAATCTGTGACTGCAATCAAAAGAGTAAAAATGCCAAAAGTCTTGTACTTTGTTTGGCTACTTATGGTTAAAGTTAGGTCTGGGTAGGTGTTAAGGTTGTCATGTTGGGATTAGAGTTTTCCCCATAGAAATGAATGGAGAGTCCCCACAAAGATATAATTACAAACCTATGTGTGTCTGCATGTAAGCGTGTGTCAGTGTGTTTCTGCATGTAAGCGTGTGTCAGTGTGTTTTTGCATGTAAGCGTGTGTGTCAGTGTGTTTCTGCATGTAAGCGTGTGTGTCAGTGTGTTTCTGCATGTACAGTAAGCGTGTGTCACTGTGTTTCTGCATGTAAGCGTGTGTCANTCTGCATGTAAGCGTGTGTCAGTGTGTTTCTGCATGTAAGCGTGTGTCAGTGTGTTTCTGCATGTAAGCGTGTGTCACTGTGTAATGACATAATATTGTCATTTAACTGGTATCTGATAGTAACTATGGATGAAAATGTAATTTCCGCTGCTAATGTCTGTGCTGATTCCTCCTGCAGATTCTGCCCCATGGTTTTCAAGGCCAGCTGGACTTATTACAGTCTTATTTTACCGCGGTAAGTGTCACGAAGCACTATCCGAGGGTACGGGACATTAAAACTGCGGCAGGCTACCATGCCAGGGACCGGAAGAACTTGCTGGGTTCAGAGATCAGCTGGAGCTTCTTCAGCCAGTCAGACGCTGCCATTTGTTTGCTGTAGTCACCTCTCGGACTCATATAAACTGCTCACAGACACGCAAACTGCTCACAAACTGGTACACATATAGGAAAGGGCACACCCCACACAATCTGGGACACCTAGAGCAGAGAGATGCAAACTGCACACAGACTGGGACACCTAGAGGAGAAGACATAATCTGTACACAGACCGGGATACCTAGATGAAAGAGACGTGATCTGCACACATACTGCAATACCTAGATGAGAGAGACGTGATCTGCACACATATTGCGATACCTAGATGAAAGAGACGTGATCTGCACACATACCGCGATACCTAGATGAGAGAGACGTGATCTGCACACATACCGCGATACCTAGATGAGAGAGACGTGATCTGCACACATACCGCGATACCTAGATGAGAGAGAC